CCCCCCGCTGCTCTTGCAGACGGCTTCGCCAATTTCGTTGCTTTTGTTATGATTGCCAAGTGACGCAAAATTGAAGGCTTGTTGGTTCCTGGATTACGTCGGGTGGATATCAATAGCTTGGGTTGTTTCGTCTCCATGCAACGACGGGGCTGGTCATCCAGAAAGCGTGCAACCAAAGAGCTCGGTTCTCAAGAGACGCTTAGCGTATAGCAATGTCCCGTGCTGGAATCTCTTGTCCTGAGTAGTCTGTAAGGATCACCGATGGATATCCCGTTCATGGCTACATTGTACAAATGAAAATTGAAGCCGGGAACAGGCATGTTGGCCCGGGTCGGCATCGGAGCGGTCAAGGAAGGGAGGAGGGTGGTCGGATGGAACCCGAGGAGAGGTATCCGTACTTTGGGGAGGACGGGGGGATGACGGAAGGCGGGATTTGTAGAGGGCCAGCAAGGCGCCGGGCCTTTCCGTTGACCAGTGATGTGCTTCTAGGAATCGGGCTTCCAGGAATCGAGCAAGAGCGACCAGGTAGTATTCAAGACATGTCGGGTTGGCTGGGGCTCTTCGGGGCAATCGTACTGGAATTGGGTGCAGCGCCGGGAATTGGCTGGACCCCCCACTCCTCGGTCTCTGCGGTCCCCCTCGGTCTCTACCTGGTGAGAGCGAGCGGGAAAGTGTCAAAGCACACCGGGCTGCCACTGCTAGTGCTTTCCGCCCGCCAGCAGGGGTCGGACTCTCACCTTCCCGACACACTCCCATCCCGCCTGCCGCCTGTGGTGGGAGCACCAACAGTGCAACTCCAACACCAAACAACACTATAGTACCTAGACGGGAGGGATCGCCTCACCTCTTGGAAAATTCCATCTCCGGCGCTAGAACAAAGCTCCTGCATCAGTCCTGCACCGGTCCTGCATCGCCCAAACAGGCCGTCACGCTACAGGTTCCTTGCTTTCCCCTAGCGCACCTAGCGTGGATACTTTGGTCAAAGTATTTCTGCGCCGCAAACCATCTACCATGCTACAATGTATGATTCTACCTACTCATCCGTTCGGCATTACGATTGGCATCTTTGAACTGTATCGTGGGTTTGAGAAACGTGGGTTCTATACTATCTTGGCACGCTGCACCATCTTCACTTCTGCTTGTCGTCAAAATTGTACAGAGGTGAGTGCAAGGGCGAGGGCGGGCGGCAATTCTCCGCCTTTCCACTTCACCACACTCGATTCCCTCGATCCTGAGAAAGGAACACCATCATCCATGACACCACGCAGAGGACATATCCGTGCTTCAAAGAGCCGAAGACAGAATACCGGGATCGAAGAGACGGATAAGGCGCATCAAGGGACAGCCTACAGTCCGTGCTCTCTCTCCTCTTTCTCTCATCCACTCCGTCAGCCTTGAACCGCCCTTCCAGCAAGCATCCTTTCCCCTCCCCACACCAACACCCCAATCCTCGTCGGACCAGCCCGGCTTAACTTCGCACTTGGCCGACAATGGACCAGGGCAGGGCGTCTTGAGATGCCTCAGCCTAGCGTCGAAAAAGGAGCACTTTGCTTTGCCTTACAAGGCCGCAACCCTCAATCAAGGGGGATGGAAACCGTCGCAGAGGCCTGCAAGCGCAGAAACCCTGCCGTCTACTCGAGGGCCCTGGTAAACTCAATGTCAATTCCAAAAAAGCTCGCTCGACAAGCCGTTTTCATACAGCGGAAAGATGGTGCTTGGCATAGTACTACCTAAGGTACGGACGGGTAAGGAGAGTTAACCGGCCGTTGGGTTTGGTTTTACGACTAGGTCGAGTGACGACCAGACAGTGAGCCAGACCCAGACCCAGACCCAGACCTGACCTAAACCCGAAGCAGCACAGAGGAACCCAATCCCCCAAAGCTGAGTGGTGTGTGTGGAACACTGATCTTCGACCACTGGCAGTTGCTCGGCACTTTCCGGTCCAGGATTTGGCTCCCTGCTTTTCGGGGCAGTGAAATCCGGCGCTTTTACATCATCGCCAAAACGCCGGATGCTGAAAGACTCCATGGCGCTTCAATCCCCGTCCAAACCCTGGTGCCGGGCCCTGGCTGCACTCGAGAACGGCCACTGGCCAACCCCCCAAACCCCTCATGACCCAGCTCCCAGCTCCCAGCTACCAGCTCCCACCAGCTCCCACCAGCTCCAGCTCAAACCCCAGCCCCGGCCGGCGGGGTAGCAAGAACGCTGCACTGAATTCCTCGCTGGTTGAATCTCGCGTCATCATCCACCCAGCGACCCTCGACCCAGGCATCGCGCATCAAAGTGAAGAGCACAGCACACCAATAGGCACAGGCGTAAGGCGCAGGGACGATAGCATCAGCTCCGGTGTCCTCTGCCATCTGGTGTGGCCGGTTGCCCTTGGCCCTGCTCAACGCTCGGGCGCTCATCTCTAGGTTCATAGCTAGAAAGCGCTACGCTTCACCAGAGTCAAAAATTGACCAAAGACAACTGTTGGTACGGATACCTTACTCCATACATTGTGTTTCCGCGAGAATTCACCTCTTGTTGGGAGCATGCAGGTTCTAGTTCTTGGGCAGGGGGGAATTCAACCCACCGCTCCAAAAGGGAAAAGCTCACCTGGAGATGTGCGGCCGCCCTCACTTCAAAAGTTCACTCACCTCAGACAATCTGCCCGACGAATACCTTGCTTTGGTGTCCGTACCCATTCTGGCCTATACTATGAGTACGGATACAGAGACTCCATAATCTAAGGTACCCTGCCGCATCGACCATCGCCAAAAGGGTATAATGCAACGCCTATGACAACCTTGGACCATTGTTCACGGGTCAGCTCAACCCATTCCCCGGTAATCAGCATTGCATTTCGTCCCTATCCTGTTGCGGGATGGAGTGGGCGACGCACCAATCCTCCGGCAGTATTTTCAAGTCCTCTTCCTCGTCACCTTCAGGGGCCCTGGAACGGGATGAGGAGAAAAAGAGCCCAAGTTTATCAACTGTCAAATGAAAGACCAAACAAGATGGCGAAATGAAACCCAGTCCTGCTCGTATGCAAGCGGTCGAATGGTCCGCCAGCATCAGCGCCGCCCACTCGTCCCGAGCCCACGGGGCGTCCTGGTGCCGTTGAGCTCTGCTGCATCGGTACATCCCCGGGTCGAAAATGGCCAGCCTGATAGGTTATGTCGGACCTGACCCAGCCGGGTCTTCACTGCTCTTCATGGAGTGCCGTGGCACGCGTTCATACTGCGTGCTACGTAGTGAACGAAGTTCATACACAATGCCATGCCCACGCGCCTGCTTGGCGGCCGCCAAAACACTTGCCCGAAGCTGGGGTTTAGCCACCTGCACTTGAGGGCGGTCTCTCACCTGTCGTCTGCGATGTCAGACACCAGAAACAGTTCCAGCAGCAGTATAAATGGAGGTAACCCTGCTGAGCGGGCGAAACCCGCAAGCCAAGCCTCGATTCAGGACGATGTTCCCTGGGATTCGGTACGTATCTCGTCCATCTCCCAGCCCAGCCCCTGCCACTCAGTCACAGCGACTCCGCGACTCCGCGACTCCTCTCTGATCGCTGATGGCTCACTGCCCGTTAATCTATCCTTGGCGCGCTTGTTTACATCACTTACGTATTCTCAGGAGCTTGCCTTGGAAGGCCCCAAACTCTAAAGCACTTCCTGTCATCAGGTTTTCGATCGTCTGATGCACCTCGTCTCTTGCGGAGACAGCAGCTTGCATACGCGAAAGAGGGGGCAGATGTATTACACGTCGACCCATAAGACCATGTCGGCTTGGGCGAAGCGGAAGCTACTGGAGTGATTGTGGTATGCGCCTAGCTGGTTGGCGAGACCTAGTCGAGTTGAAATGTAAGACCTTCCAGACATCAAATGTCGACTTCACAAGTGACGCTATTCTTTAGCCGTCCACACCCGCTGAGAGACACAATCGGCCAAGACGGCGACCGGCCAAACGATCGCTCTAGGTAAAATGTGTTGTGGAGGTGGGCTGCAGTCCATAAACATCGCCAAGATTTCACTTGATCTATTTATCTTGCTCCTCAGAATCCAGACCTCTGCACAGCGGTACGAGACCCAGAACCAACACTTGAGACCTCCGACGAACTGGTACTTGGGTCTGGCTCCTCCCTCAATGGGCCCGCCACGTTGACTAATCTGCCATCGCCCCTCCTCTGTATGCCTACATAGTATGGTAATTACTGAATGCCTCCGCCGGGAACACGCGAACACTTCATGCATCTGGCCCAGCTCGCACGCACGTTCATAGTATGCAATGCTGGTCAGACAATAATGATGGAAGTGGTTGTGGCTCATACCCCGTGGGAAAATACATAGTAGGCGCAAAGCGATTGAAGATAGGGCCCTGACTGCGGGCGGTCGATTTGTCGCCCTTCCACCTTGAATCAAATGATTACCCAGTGCTCCACCTCGTGTCGACCATCTCCCAGGACAATCCACCGTCTGCAAGTTGCAACATATTCAACAAATGAAGCGCTGGAGCACGCCCAGAGATACGGAGGGGCCGGACGCGGTGCGAGAGAGAGAGAGGAGAGCGAGGCTAAACTCTTCCTAGACTCCAAGTGGAGTTGACATCTTGCAGGTGAACCCACTCCACGTCACAGCATATCCATGCCATTCCTCCACTAAGCACCGAACCCAAAACATACTCACTTTCATCTTCTTGCACCCCACCAGGGAAGGGGAAAGGAAGAGTACATGGTGTGTTGAGGAGCAAGGGAGGAGATGGGGCGTCAGTGGGATGGTCCATGACTCCATGTTCAGATCGGCGTTGAAGAGGCACGACACGACCTGGCGCAATATCGCTGCTTTCCAGGTCTTCGGTTTATCCTACGGCCGTCCGCCGCCCTTGGATCATTAGATGGTCCCATGTTGCTCTCAAATTAGAATAAGAATGTTGCTAGTGTGGCCGACCAGGCCGATACCCTTCCCCCGTCTCCATCGTACCTTCAGATCAACAGCATGAGCATGTGGTTGGCCGTTTTAATGGTCTGCCAAGTCGGGGGCATTCCTGTCGCTTATTCTCCCATCGGCTAATTTATCACATCGCTTAAGATAGTAATATGCGCTTAGAAGATCCTTTCCTCGACGAGACGGTTGAGCTATGAGGCTCTGGGCCTCTGTCATTTTTGATACATGCCACGAACAGCGATCAGGGACCAGGACTGGCTGTTCACTTCAGAAAATCGGTGGAACTAGGTAATAATGTATTGATTGCAGCAGAGAATGATGGATGCAATAATGGCCGGCTCGGCTTGTCAACGTTTTCCTTCAAGTTTTTTTTTTTTTTTTTTTTTGTATCCCCCTTCCCGCTCGTCGTCTTTCATACAGCATTGATTGCATGGGACACGACAGTCGCTTGTACGGATACAAAGACCCCGGTCGGCCACTTTTAGCCATACCGGATGAAGAGAGAGGGTCCAAGCAACATTGACGATACTGCGACCTTCTCTTCCCAGTTCATTCGATACGCCCATTCAGGCTTGGCCTTGCTTCGTTCGCCCAGATCGAGGATTGACGGAGAGTTCACCGGTGTGTGAGTGTGGGTGGATACGCACCTTCCTCCACTCACTCTACCGAGTCTACCCACCCTTTTTTTTTTTTTTCTGCTCAGATCAGGAGAGCGAGAGAGATTGCCTCTGCAACAGAGAGATTGAAGGCAGAAATATTAGGAAGCGATAGATTGAATTACACCACCAAAGCTAGGCAGTGGGCAGAGCGGGCACTCGCGCGGTTTGTGCGTCTATCCATGCGGCAAGGGCGCCTCCCCTTGTCTGGGGCCCATGTCCGGACACAACTTGCCTTGTCGTCCAGTCTTATCCCCTCTTGTCCCTGGCCGAGCTGACATGGTAGGCTGGCTAGTGGTGCCGTCCCCCAATTAAGCCTCGTCAAGTCAATGGCATGGGCCCTTTTGATATCAGCACGGCGAGACAGCGCCGGCCCGGCTCGGCTGAGCAGCTGCTTTGGTTTCTCAGGTCAGAGGAGACGGAAAGGATCCTATCGGCCAGACAGCAACAACGACCGAAAGCGAAAGAGGGAAAGAGAGAGAGAGAGAGAGAGATGGAGAGATATGGAGAGAGAAAAGTCCAAGACGGTTGAGTCGGCTTCCATGATTGGACCGTGTCCTGAATCCCCCCTTTTTATAACAAAAAGACACTTTCTGTCGATATCTCTTGAGGGGTGCTGCACATTTGTATACTGCATAGCAAGCAGCTAGTCTTGGACTTTGCAGACTGGGACAGGGAAGAGGGTTGTGTTCCTTTTTTTTCTTCCTTACCCCTTTGACCCTCTCTGTCTAATATCTACGAAGAGACCTTAACCCCCCTTCGGCTGGATTGGTCTCATGACTTGTGTGAAGGAGCTACAGTACGGAGTACGCCATGATGCGTGATGGGGGGTGGTGGGTGTTTGTCTGAGGTTCCTCCCCCAGCTCCCCAGCTCCCCAGCTCCCCAATGATCCCATCTCTTCTCCTCTTTCGTCCAGCCACAAAAAAGGGCCCAAAACACCCGTCAGTAGGCGAGAAGGCAGGGGTAGCCAATATAGAGTTTTTGAGTCCTGCCGTTCTTTCCAAGATTGGTCTTGACATACTTGGTATACTTGGTGTTCCATCCTCGGATCAATCCGACGCGACGGAAGTGACCGACCCTCTATCTACCCTCTGAGGTCGGAGTCTTCCTCCCTCTTGCTCATTGCGGCACTGTGATAGCCGGCTCATGGTACGTGTATACTAGAAAGGTTGCGTGTGACGGGTCAACGGGCGCGACTCGAAAGTTGCTGATCGGCACTTCGTAGGTTGTCATCGTCACCTTTCCAGACTACAGAGTTCCATCCCAAACTACCAAAGTCACCTACCTACCCTCATCTCTCTCTCTTTCTCCCCCCTCCCACTCTCGTTCCCCTACACCCCTGTCCCATCCTCGCGCGCTCTCGACTGGACTCATGAACTCGTGTGTGCATATGATGTTCTAATCAAACATTTTGGTGTAGGATCGTCAGTCCATAGCAAACTTTGCTCTCCGGTGTGCGTGTGTGAAATCTGTTGATCTTGTTTTGTGGTTTCTTTCTCGCGTAGTCTGGATGAGACTTCCCCTTTCCAACCCGCATAACTATGGTTAAATATGAAAAAAAATCCATAATCACATTCTTTTGATTCCATCCCAGAATGTGTGTGTATCATCCCCCGTTTCCCCAAGAAAGTCTAAAAACCGCCCAATGGTTTGGTACCCAAATGATGAAAAGCAAGGCGAGAAAAAAAACAAGAAACCCTCCTAAACCTTGTAAAGCGCCTTTCATTCTCCAAATTTCCCACCAAATGAAACAAAAACACAAAATCAGTGATAATTTGGGTTTGACCGCAGAAGTCCTCCAACCTGTTTCTGATGCACCGGTATCGCAGGTTAAA